ATTCTTAGAACAATGGAACTTTGAACTTAGAACTTTGTTTCACCATTTTTGCTTGTACAGTAGCTAGAAATGATCTCATCAGGGTGGAGGGCCCAGGGCAAAGCAGCCTGCATGGGGCCCCTCTCCCCATCCCACAGCACACTTATGTCAGGGAATCAAAGCCCCAGCACACTGGACACGGTGGGAGGGGTGGTGACTGGAAAATCCAGCTGGAACAGGTAAAGAGACATTCAACCCAGCAGGCAGGAAGGTGGGCTAAACTTCAAATGCAGCAGCTGCAGCCTCTCCCCCCAGATCCACAGGGCCCCCCAAAGCATAGGGCCAAGGGCGGTTGCCCCAATTCGCACCCCCTAGGCACAGCCCTGACAGTAGCTAACACAACAATCTCACTTGAAGCCTCTACGTATAAGAGTAATGTAAATTAAAAAATCTTATTTGATATACTGTTGTGCTAATTTTTTCTCAAAAACTTTTGATTGCCAAAAGGTTAATTTAGTCACTGTGATAAAAAGTGCCTTAAGTGGGGGTTCCCCGAGTGACGTACTATCCGTCCGGTGCAGGGCCTCTCCCCTCAAATTACCTGCCACGACTTGGTGTTATTAGGTAAAGGGAGGATTCCGTGGAGCTCTTCTTCCTGGGGAGCCCCTGGGGACAGTAGTACTCACAGTTCGGGTGCGATGTTCCACGGGGCTCTGCCTCCCCTATACCCCATCCACTCACCAACCGGATGGGCGCCAACGGTGTGGTTTGGTCATGCTTGATTGACCCCTGCTTGCTTCAGCACCTGTGAGTAGGGCGCTTCTGGTTTTGTGCCTATTCTTTTTTTTGTCAAAAGAAATAGACCTCTGGGGAGAAGAGGGATGTGGAGTTGCCTCCTTTCTCCCAGCCTTCTACAGGGGGCTCAAATGCCTCCCCTGCTCTGCCTGCCGGCATTGAGCCAGCTGCGCTGTTCCTGTCTGCTGCAGGAGCCTCAGCACATCTGGTGCGCTCCACACCAGTGTGCTCCCTCACTCTCCCCGCCCCCTGGGTTCCAGTGGGGCTTTTAAATCTTCCCACGGCGGCTGTTCCGGCTGCCACGATTGGCTCAGATTTTCCCTGCCCAGGGAACAGCTGATTAAACCACCAGTGTAATGCTGGCTCACGTGGCCGCGGCCGTGGTTCCTGCTCTGGCTCCTGCTGCGCCCCTGGAGGTAAGTTTCGCCCGTGTGGGGGCTGTTTGTGGGGTTTGGAGCCCGTGGGGACTGCCCTCTCCCCTTCAGAAGCCTGTGGGGGCATCTCACCGCCACAGTCACTGAAATGCACCAAACGTTTAACTCCAGAGTGGGCCTTATGGACCTAGCATGCAAGGGTCTTGGACTGGCCCTGCACAAGGCCAACACTGGTAGCTAGATGATGTGGCTTCACAGGCTGCATCTGGTATCTCTGACACCCCTAGAGTAAGGCGTCTTAAATAAAAAATTGTGACCTGAAAGAGGCCGGCTCTGCTTACCTTGGAAGTACCTAAACGAACTCAGGGCCTTCCTACTTGACATTACATTTCCAAGAGCGTCACCAGGTAGAGGTAGAGACTGTGGAAAAACAAAAATACGTTTCTAGCAGAGAGATTTACCAATCTGAACTACCATTTGGGAAATATGGCCAAATGAGTAACTATTTTTTTTTTCTGAGAAATCAGGCAGTTCAGGCTGGCAGTACATTCTACTGCACTGGGCAAGCATTTCTACCACAGAGATTTGCCAACCTGAACTGCTATTCAAGAGATACAGGGTCACAGACTAAAGAGGGCACTGAAGTCAGGCCCCCTGCTTTCTTGGCAAGGGGAAAAAACACTATGCAGCAGCAGCATGTCTCCTAATGCTCCTAAAAGAAAAGAACAAACCCTACTCATTTCTGTGTAAGCACTACCATTGGGAAAGAATTCTGGAATTATGACCCCTTAGGCTTAATGCAGTGGTTCTCAAACTTTTTCAGACTTGAAGCACCCCTTGTTAGACTGGAGGCACTCCTCAGAAAATCCCAGCTCCTAGTTTTCACTTATTTTTTAACTACAGAAAAACAATAGAGTAATTTTTCTGTTGCAAATAACTTAGACAGACCAGAACAGGTCAGAATGTTTCTAATACTATGGCTTCTCAGCTGAAATCTCTGGGTTTATCCTGTGAATTATGTTTCCACTCTTGACAGTGCTAATATTGTATGGCATCCTGCATCACCCTTGAAAGGATGTCAAGGTACCCCCAGTTGAGAATAACTGGCTTAGTGTATGGAGGTGCTTGAACACTACAGACTGGTAGGATTTCATATGTCCCCTTGTGTTGGCTGTTTCCTGTTTGATCTAGGCAGCCCCCTTTCCCTGTCTGGCGCATGTGGGTATTTTGGACCACTCTTCTGTGGTGCCTGTCCTGTTGTGGGTTCAGTTCACTGAGTCAGGTTTCTTTATTCATGGCAACAGAACCTAGACAGCCACAAGACTCCTTCCTCAGCTCACTCTCAAACAGCACCCATCCCTGCTTATATGTAACAGCAACAACCTGGAAGGATATCCTAATCCAGTGGTTCTTGAACAGGGTGCTGCAGCACCCCAGGCTGTCTGGAGATCCTTTCAAGGGTGTCACAGGGTACCATATAGTGTTAGCACTGTTAGGTTTACAAATAAGGTTCAAAAGATAAACCCAGAGATTTCAAAGGGAAATTCATAGTTCGGGGTTTTCTGAGTTATTTGCAACAGAAACCCCCCACCCTTGCTCTATTATATTTCTGTAAGAAAAAAAAAAAAAGAGAGAGAGAGAGAAAACAAAGAGCTGGCATTTCTGAGGGGGAATCACAAGTTTATCCAGTGGTGCTGCAGGGCTAAAATGCTTGAGAACCATTGGCCAAACCTTTAAAGTTATACAGTTCCCACAGTGCCTCATCCCAGTGCCTTGTACAGGGAGCCCAGGGGGTCAATGCAAGAGTCTGGATTACACTCTGCAGACAGGTCACACCGAGGCTGGTAACTCCAGCTCTGTGGGG